TCTTGCCAAAGATCCTGCAATTTACGAAGCATGATGGAGTGAAAGTCTTGATACAAAAAATGTGCAAAACAGTCTATTACAGGGGTAACGTTGTCTGTTTATTAGAGTTAACGGAAAAATTTCGAAAAAAATTAAAATTAAATTTCTTTTAATTTTAAACTATAAAAGAATTTCAATTCAAAACACACGGAAGAATCTTTTCAAAATCAGATAACGTTACCCACGCAGTCGGCCATTGCGCACAATTTTTTCAGCTAATGTTTTCTTCCGCCATGGATCATTTTTGGCAAGGTCTTTTTCAAAATACTTTATCTTTTCCTAGCAAAATATACGGAAAAGAATCTTGTAACTGCATTTTATAATTTTGGGAAACTCATCAAAGCATATAACATAGCTAAATATTAGGGGGATATATGTCCCCTTAAGCAAACCAATATCATATAGCACTTTTCAGCAACAACCGAAAGATTGGTCATACTTACATTGGTCCTGGTGATGAAAACCCTTGATCTGCAGTTCCTCCTCCTTCCCAGTATGAAACTTGCGTTATCGAACCATTAGGTGTCCAACCTGTGGGTGGCGTAATTACACCGCTTGTTTCACAAGGACCAGTTTCTCCATCACCATTAACAACGATATTTACACCATAAGCTGAAACGAATACAGTAGTATGATTCAAATATAGTGATCATATGCTATTCATATTTTTAAGTCTTACACTGTAAAAAATAAAGTGTGCTCGCTAGCGTACATTCCCCCAAGTGTGCATTTCGAGTCCAAAATGATGTGCAAATTGTCACTGTGTAATCTGAATTTTTGTCTTGCATTTCTCTATGGAAAAAAAACGGAAGAATTATTCTTTTCTTCGGTTTTTTCTCTCTTTCTGTCTATGTAAGCTGTATGTGCAATTCCAGTGTGTTACAGGCATACTGAACAAGCCATTTTCAGTGTGCAAAAAAAGTCCAAATTCAGTGTGCTCCGGGCATACTTTATTTTTTACAGTGTATAACTATGCAAGAACATTTTTGATTTTTTGCAAGAACAGAAACCTTAGAGCTTGCATTTTTTGAGAGCTTCTTAGGTCAAAACAACAAAATTCGTTTTCAGACTGTTAGTTTATTGACTTAAGTTACAGATTATGAGTGTTAGCATTGAGATTTTAGATTCAGATCTCACAGAAATTCACTTTACAATTATATTGCATACCGTCATTGAAGGCTGGTGATGGTAACGTAGTGGCTGGATATCCGACCGGATAAGTTGATGGACAAATATAGGTGGTGGTTGCGATGTTGTCTAGAAAAAGATCTCTAGAGCTTTTAATTTTAAAAGGTTAAGTATAATTACCTGTTGTAGCCAACATGAGACTCGTGCTCGTAATATTTGTACCAACACCTAAATGCGAAATGAGCAGAAATTAAAGCTCGAAATTGTAATTTTATAATATGCCCATCTCAACTACTTCAAAAGCTAAGATTTGATTTTTAAAGATAATAAACAAAATTCATTACTCGCTAATGTTGTTGAAGTAACCACAGTTGATGACGTCGTTATTCGTTCTAAATGTTAAAATAAACACACTAGAATTATGACCTGATTTTGGCAAAGGATTAATTCAGGTGGAATCTATTATGTGATAATAATAGAAAATAAATCAATATATACTGACCACAAAAATTAGATGAAGAACATATTAAATTTTTATCATTTCTACACCATTGATCATTTTGACATATTGAACCGTTGTATCTCTGATTTAAACACATATACCCATTCCAATATGTATGTGGGGTACATTGACAAATATCATTAATACATAGTAAATATCGATTTATTTGACATTTATCACATGTTTGGTTATAGACTAAATAAAGTTGCTCTGTATATGCAATACTACTAACTCTTGATGTTGATGGGATAGCTGCTGATCTATTCACGTGACCAGTTGTTATTTCACCTTCAAATAGTCGACATCGTTTAGATAATGTATCATAATCGTACGTTCGACACAATAAATTTATATTACAAGTTTCTGTACAACTAATTTCTGATGATACCCAGATTGTACTTATTAACTCGATTGGATCAGCAGGTATAAATGAAGTACCGAAATCGGCTCTGTAAATATGCGATTGGTATTGTGAATAAACAACATCGATGAACAGGACCCATTGAAGAAAATACTGTGCCATAATTGTGTATATAATTGTTTTTATACGAAAGATGTTTTTAAAACGTCTCAGTTAAAAGTTTTTCTCCTTTTTTTTAATGTTCCATCATTGTCAAAACCAGATATTTGTATCTAAATTTATTATTTTTTTCTTTGTAGTATTAAGGTGAAAAAGTTCTTCTCACTTCTAATCATAAAATTTTCTCAAAAGGTGCTACCAATTAAGATTTATAGATTTAACAAAAAGAAAAAGAAAATGAATAGTTTTAACGTTCAAAAGGTGTTTCATAAGAAAGCAGAAAAAAGAATTATTTGCCACTAAAAGCTGAATGTTGTGTCCTAATAATCTGTTTTTAACCCGAAAAAAATTTTATATATATAAGACAATATTCCCTCTTTTGAAAATAATAGTGATGTAGTGGGCTAGAATGCCAGATGGTTAAGACATACAATCGACGAGGACTATGAACTATGCAAACAAATATTGACATGCGTTCACGTTCAAGTATTTCATGTATGTATGTCTCAGTAAACAGTGGAAGCATTATCAAAAACAACAGTACAATGACAAACAAGTACGATGAGAGATGCTCAAACTTCATGGATGTACTTAATTTTTGATGCTGAATCCGAATAAATTAGTTTCAAAAATGTATAGTGACGACAAAGGGGTAAAATCTTAAGTTTTCTCAAAACGGGTCAGAAGTGCCGTTTTTGATACCTTCTTCGTATTTTAAAGATTTCTCCACCCAAACTTGATGAAAAACATATTCGGAATCTACTCGTCGAGCTCTGTCTGACCATGTATGTTTCAGGGAAATCTATTTTTGTGTGCCCGTTTCAGATTTCCGGCACCTTACATATATTATTTCTGGAGCATTATCATCATATGGTAGTGCTTTTATGTATTTTTACCTCAGAGCGTTCAAATAAAAGACACCGTACTTCTTTTTGATTGTATGATGCTATTTTGTGATAGAGATTTGGATTTTTCCTGATGTTATCCAAATTACAAGCGCTCAAAACATCTTGTGGTAAGGCTAACAACTTTTTAATAAACATTCCAGTTGCGCTGCCGCTTATACCTAATTCATCATATAATACTTGACACTCATCTCGACGTATTGATCGAGGGTGAAATGCAGTTCCTATATGTATAACAGCTCCTGTTCAAACAATACTCATCTCTCCATTTTGTTTTATATGCACAAGAAACGTAAAAGGACACATTTTGAAAGAACAAAAGCCACCGCTTGCTCCCTTGAATGAAAGCAAAGGTTATAAATCTGAACTTTCGATTAAGATTTTTCGTAAAAAAACAAAGTTATCCCAAAAACTTGGAACGCACATCAGTCAATTTAGTTTTTGATGCTGATTCTAAATATAACATTCGTTTTGCAAAAAATGGAGGTTTGTTGATGAAAACTGCAAAATACGAGTGCGTTTTCTTGGTTTCTGCAAAGGTGCTGACCTATGATGAAAGAAACAGCTTCCTGTTTCGAATAAGAACTATCTAAATATAAGGCTTTGTTAGTGAAGTAAAAACTCTACCTACAGATCCTACTCTAAACATATGACTAAGAATCATCCAAAGAATTCAAAACTAAAACGGTTTTTTATGATCTCATTAGATAAAACGTTCAAGTCATCCATAAACCTAAGTTTTTAAAACCTTAGAGACTAAAAGTGAGTGAGCCCGATTTTATACAAAAATCGAGAAAGTAGACTTTCATCATACTTTTCATCAGGTCGTCGACGCACTGTATGTCGCTAGTTTATCGGAATGTGTCAAATTAGACAACGTAGCGGCTGTTAAAGGATAGAAACTAGCACTTATATCTCACAAAACTAAGTATGAACTCTCAGAAATTCCTAGATCCCAGGTGTATGAAAAAAGAAATATCTATGCACTTCTAATTCAATTAAAATTATGAACTTTCGAAGATTTTGCCGTTCTACGGCACCAGAGTGACTAACTTTCATAGTGCATAGATGGTTTATGTGCTATCCACTTACAACGTGCTTGATTTTAAGATAAAAGGAGTGTTAAAAAAGAATAAAAAACGTTTTTCAAGACTAGTAACAGCTGCTACGCTTTAATCCGTTCAATATTTTTAATCTCCAGCAATTCCGATAAAGTCATTTTCTAAACGTATTTTTCATGGTTGGCGATCTGATGATTTTGTTTTTTCTTGGGTTAATTTTAGACGCCACATTTTATAAAACCTGACAATTTTTTGTTTTAAATTACCCGAATATATTTTTGTCTGAATTGTCACTTTTATAAAATCTCATATGCTAATGAATTTGCTTTTGAGCTAACTGCAAGGACCATTACCTCAAAACTCTAAGATAAAAGTTAGTTACCCTCTACCGCCCGTGGGAGAGAGAGAGACTAAAGCTAAGTGACATACAAAATAATATAGTTGAAACAATTTTTTATAAAGATCTTGATTGACATATTGATTCAATGAATATTAGATATCGTGAGAAATATGTAATTAAACAGACAACATACAATTCTATTGTTCAAGCCTTGAAGTTAGAAAAAGGTAAGAAGTCAGATTTGCTTTGTTTTCTGGACAAAGTCTAATTTTGTTCTGTTAACATTTGCTGGAATCGAAATAATATGTTCTTTAGCCGATAAAAAATCTGTTTGTCTCTACGAATCTCTTTTCAGTATTGTAAGTGAATCTCACATCGCGGTGTCTCGTGGGGGGCTTTTGCGTTGAAAAATAAATGTGCTAATGAAGTAGCTTTGAAATTGCGTGACTTGTTTTTTTTGTTTGGTCCACCTCGATTGCTCCACAGTGACAATGATAGAGAATTTGTTGCAAATGTCATTTTTGAGTTGAAAAAATTGTTTCCTGATATGGGGTTTGTACGAGGTGAGCCTAGACATCCTCAGTCACAAGTTTGTGTTTAACGTGCGAATGGAGTTTTGTGTGATGCGTTAGGTAAACGGTTGTGTACAAATAATTCTTCTCATTGGTCCGAAGGGCTCTTACCGGTTATTTATGGAATCAATACAAGAGTATCGAGTGTCACTAAAAAATCACCGTATAAAGTTTTGTTTGGTCAAGCACCTCGTTCTGATTCTGACTTTCGGAAAATTATTGATGAAAAAAAAATTGTTGATGAGGAAGATTTGCCGAGTCCAGTTGATGACGCAGATAATATGGTTATTGGACAACTGGATAATTCATTTGATGTTCGTAATGGTATTGATCAGGAGGTGGTTCCGATTGTTGAAAAATTAACTGATGATGCTGTTTCGAATTCTTTTCTTGATATTTCATTGACAGAAAAAACACCTCACACTAATCCTGATCTCATTTCTTTCGACTCACCGATCAAGAACGCTATTCATTTGTCTAATTCGCATTCAAATGTTCCTTCTACATCATCTCCTCATATTTATGACCCTGAGATTCGATCAACAATAAAACTTCTAGATGAATTAAGCGAATTAATAGCACCAATTGTTCCTTCATCGTCTTCTTCAAATAAAATTCGTTCTCGTACCTTTTCTGATGTCGATCAACCTCCTTCTTCTAATTTATCATTTTCACGTCATGATCCTATACGACATGCAGCTACAGATAATTATTTACGCACGGTAACAAAAAAACAAAAAAAATATGATGAACATTTGTTGAATTTGGAACAGAAGTTTGTTGTAAATGATTATGTAGGTGTGCGAATTGATACAGTTGATAGAACTAATACCGATCCGAAACTCTTACCGTGCTTGATTGTTGAAAAAAGTAGTAAAGATGGAGCTGGCGTTTTTAGACTAGCTTGCCAATATGGTAAGTTATTAAATTTGTTTTCAGTTCAAGATCTTGTCGATTTGAAATCATCATGTCCTCGACAATTACGATAAACTGACGTCACTGCTTTAGATAATGTTACATTCGTTGAAGCATGTAAACTTTATGCACGTAAATCAGTAAGTGGCTCAACATGCGATTGTAAAAGTAAATGCGCTACGAAGCATTGCCCTTGTAAGAAAGCCGGAGTCCCTTGCTCAACAAAATGCCACTCTGGTCAGTGTAATAATATAGGAGAATCGTCAATGCATGTACATAGTATTTGTAAACACAATTATGTAAATAAGATGATAAACTGAGTATTTAAACAAACTATTTCACGAACTGCCTTTGTCATTTAACTGTTGAAACTGTTTTGCTTTTGTACATTCTTTAATTAAGAATCTACTATGCTTGATTAAATTTTTTTATGTGTTATAAGCAGAATACTTGCATGTTGCTGTGTACATTTTTTATAAATAAAACAGAAAAAGAGGTTGTTTTCTAGTAACGTTATTACCGGATGAAATGATTAAGCGAGAACGTTAGTACCTATAGGATCATCCAGAGGAATATCAATCAATAATGACGCCATCTGGAAACAATCTCACAAAAAAAAATTCACTACCACTTCGATAATCATGCCACCTTTACGCGGTGGAGTGGATAAGTAACCTGTTCGCATATGAAGCATACACTTTATCGAAAGAGACTTTTTTTCTTGTACCATGTCTCACCAAGAGCTAAATGGCTCATGAACGTCCAGGTGAAACTAAGAGCGTGATTTGTAATAAATGACTGAACTCAAATATTATATTTTTCAACCTCACTCGATTAGATTCCAAGTTGGACTGGATTCTAATATGGACTGAATAAGTCCAACTTGGAATTCTGATTTGAACTGGACCAGATTAGAATTCCAAGTTAGACTGCTTAATCTCTAGTCCATCTTGGCATTCTAAGTTGGTCCAGTCTAGATTAGAATTCCAAGTTGGACTAGACCGATATCTGTCAGCTAAAAGCGAATCTCGCCTATATTTTAATTCTAACTTCGAACTCAAAAGAAAACTTGTGTACCGACACAGTGGTATCAAACTTAATATTGATATGAAAAAACTTACTTAATTTTGAACAAATTGAAATTATTAACAACAATAATACTAAGCTTTTTGCCATTGATAGTTTTCAACGTGTTGATAATGATTTTAAT